ATTAAAAAGATTCATGGAAACTAATGAAAATGAAGATACAACCATTCAAAATATTTGGGATACAGCAAAAGCAGTCAGTCCTAAGAGGGAAAAAATGTCGCAATACCAGCATCCATCCAACAACTGGAAATAACTCAAATAAAAAAGCTAACCTTGCACCTAAAGGAGCTGGAGAAAAAACAGCAAATAGATCCTATACCAAGCAGAAGAAGAGAATTAATAAAGATTCAAGCAGAACTCAATGAAATAGAGACCAGAAGAACTGTGGAACAGATCAACAAAACCAGGAGCTGGTTCTTTGAAAGAATTAAAAAGATAGGTAAACCATTAGCCAGCCTTATTAAAAAGAAGAGAGAAAAGACTCAAATTAATAAAATCATGAATGAGAAAGGAGAGGTCACCACCAATACCAAGGAAAATCAATCTTTTTTAAAAACTTATTTTGAGCAGCTATACACCAATAAATTTGGCAATCTAGAAGAAATGGATGTATTTCTAGAAAACCACAAACTACCAAAACTGGAACAGGAAGAAATAGAAAACCCAAACAGGCCAATAACCAGGGAGGAAATTGAAGCAGTCATCAAAAACCTCCCAAGACACAAAAGTCCAGGGCCAGATGGCTTCCCAGGGGAGTTCTATCAAACGTTTAAAGAAGAAACAATACCTATTCTACTAAAGCTGCTCCAAAAGATAGAAAGGGACAGAATACTTCCAAACTCCTTTTATGAGGCCAGCATCATCTTAATTCCAAAATCAGACAAAGACCACACCAAAAAGGAGAATTATAAACCAATATCCCTGATGAACACAGATGCAAACATTCTCAAAGATACTAGCCAATCAGGGGATCCCTGGGTGGCGCAGTGGTTTGGCGCCTGCCTTTGGCCCAGGGCGCGATCCTGGAGACCCAGGATCGAATCCCACGTCGGCTCCCGGTGCATGGAGCCTGCTTATCCCTCTGCCTATGTCTCTGCCTCTCTCTCTCTCTCTCTCTCTCTCTCTCTCTCTGTGACTATCATAAAAAAAAAAAGATACTAGCCAATCGGATCTAATAGTACATTAAGAAGATTATTCACCATAACCAAGTGAGATTTATCCCTGGGATGCAAGGGTGGTTCAACACTCGTAAAACAATCAATGTGATAGATGATATCAACAAGAGAAAAAATAAGAACCATACAATCCTCTCAATAAATGCAGAGAAAGCAGGTGACAAAATACAGCATCCATTCCTGATCAAAACTCTTCAGAGTGTAGGGATAGAGGGAACATTCCTCAACATCTTAAAAGCCATCTACAAAAAGCGCACAGCAAATCTCATTCTCAATGGGGAAGCACTGGGAGCCTTTCCCCTAAGATCAGGAACAAGACAGGGATGTCCACTCTCACCACTGCTATTCAAAATAGTACTAGAAGTCCTAGCCTCAGCAATCAGACAACAAAAAGAAATAAAAGGCATTCAAATTGGCAAAGAAAAATTCAAACTCTCCGTCTTCAGAGATGACATGATACTGTACATAGAAAACCCAAAAGACTCCACCCCAAGATTGCTAGAACTCATACAGCAATTTGGCAGTATGGTAGGATACAAAATCAATGCACAGAAAGAAATCAGTGGCATTTCTCTACACTAACAATGAAACTGAAGAAAGAGAAATTAAGGAGTCAGTCCCATTTACAATTGCACCCGAAAGCGTAAGATACCTAGGAATAAACTTAACCAAAGAGGTAAAGGATCTATACCCTAAAAACTATAGAACATTTTCTAAAGAAATTGAGGAAGACACAAAGAGATGGAAAAAAATTCCATGCTTATGGATTGGAAGAATTAGTATTGTGAAAATGTCAATGTTACCCAGGGCAATTTACACATTCAATGCCATCCCTATTAAAATACCATGGACTCTCTTTAGAGAGTTGGAACAAATCATCTTAAGATATGTGTGGGGTAAGAAAAGACCCCAAATAGCCAGGGGAATATTAAAAAAGAAAACCAGAGCCGGGAGCATCACAATGCCAGATTTCAAGTTGTACTACAAAGCTGTGATCATCAAGACAGTGTGGTACTGCCATAAAAACAGACACATAGATCAATGGAACAGAATAGAGAACCCAGAAATGGGCCCTTAACTCTATGGCCAACTAATATTCGACAAAACAGGAAAGACTATCCATTGGAAAAAGGACAGTCTCTTCAATAAATGGTTTTGGGAATATTGGACAGCCACATGCAGAAGAAGGAAACTGGACCATTCTCTTACACCACACACAAAGATAAACTCAAAATGGATGAAAGATCTAAATGTGAGACAAGAATCCATCAAAATCCTAGAGGAGATCACAGGCAACACCCTTTTTAACTTGGCCACACCAACTTCTTGCAAGATACATCTATCATGGCAAGGGAAACAAAAGCAAAAATGAACTATTGGGACTTAATCAGGATAAAAAGCTTCTGCACAGCAAAAGAAATAGTCCACAAAACTAAAAGACAACCTATTAATGGGAAAAGATATTTGCAAATGATATATCAGATAAAGGGCTAGTATCCAAGATCTATAAAGAACTTATTAAACTCAACAGCAAACAATGTATGTTCTCATTCATTTGGGGAATATGAATAATAGTGAAGGGGAATATAAGGGAAGGGAGAAGAAATGTGTGGGAAATATCAGAAAGGGAGACAGAACATAAAGACTTCTAACTCTGGGAAATGAACTAGGGGTGGTGGAAGGGGAGGAGGGTGGGGGGTGGGGGTGAATGGGTGACGGGCACGGAGGGGGACACTTGACGGGATGAGCACTGGGTGTTATTCTGTATGTTGGTAAATTGAACACCAATAAAAATTAATGTATTAAAAAAATAAACTCAACAGCAAAGAAACAAACAATCCAATCCTGAAATGGGCAAAAGACATGAACAGAAATTTCATCAAAGAAGACATACACATGGCCAACAAGCACATAAGGAAATGCTCTGCATCATTTGCCATCAGGGAAATACAAATCAAAACCACAATGAGATACCACCTCACACTAGTGAGAATGGGGAAAATTAACAAGGCAGGAAACAACAAATGTTGGAGAGATTGTGGAGAAAGGGGAACCCTCTTGCACTGTTGGTGGGAATGTGAACTGGTGCAGCCACTCTGGAAAACTGAGGAACTGAGGTTCCTCAAAGAGTTAAAAATAGAACTGCCCTACCACCCAGCAATTGAACTATTGGGGATTTACCCCAAAGATACAGATGCAGTGAAAGACTGAGACACCTGCACCCCAATGTTTATAGCAGCAATGTCCACAATAGCCAACCTGTGGAAAGAACCTTGGTGTCCATCGAAAGATGAATGGATAAAGAAGATGTGGTCTATGTATACAATGGAATATTACTCAGCCATTAGAAATGATAAATACCCACCATTTGTTTCGACATGGATAGAACTGGAGGATATTATGCTGAGTGAAGTAAGTCAATCGGAGGACAAACATATGGTCTCATTCATTCGGGGAATATAAAAAATAGTGAAAGGGATTAAAGGGGAAAGGAGAGAAAATGAGTGGGAAATATCAGAGAGGGAGACATAACTGAGAGATTCTTAACTCTGGGAAATGAACAAGGGGTGGTGGAAAAGGAGGTGGGCGGGGGTGGGGGTGAATGGGTGATGGGCACTGAGGGGGGCACTTGATGGGATGAGCAGTGGGTATTATGCTATATGTTGGCAAATTGAACTCCAATAGAAAAGAAAAAAATAGAAAAAAGAAAATCTAATATGGATCCACTCTTGCTCCCCAAAACATCAAAAGTCTCCACAAATACTGCACAAAGAAAATTCACTGAAAGTATTAGTGTAATGGTTATTTTTTGAGGTTATCTTAAATGATAAGTTTGTAAATTTACTCCAGATGATTAGTGTATTTAGTTAAACCAGTAACACATTTTTGAAATGTGTGATAATGACATGATTATCTCGGGTTCCTTTTGCCTAATATCAGATGTTAGGGGATGGTTTTCCATTCTTTGGGGATGAGGAGTCAGAAACACTATTTAAATTCCTTAAAGGGAAGACCAATTCAGTTTTGACAAATGCCGAGTTCAGAAAATATCAAAAGCTATCCTTTCCAAGAAAGTATGAAAACATAGAGACAAAAAACACATGGGACATTGCCAATGTGTTAGATAATAATGGCACTAACTACATCCTACCACTTGTAGTTTAACAACTGTTAACAGAGTTGAGAGAGCTGGATGTAGCCTAGCAACAATTCAGTGAGTCTTTGATTAAATGCATTTCTTATTCTGGGCCTCAGTTTATTTGTCTGTAAAATGGGAGAGTTTGACTAGCCTATGCTTGTGGTCCCTTAAAATTGTGAATATCCTATAATTCCATGTACAGCATTCTGATGATGCCTTAGCAGATATATGGATTTCCATCTTCCTTTTCTCCAACATTGCTCCTTTGTACCAGTCTTGGAACAGTGGCTTACACTGCTATAGTTTGAGAGAAAGGCATCTTCTTGAGAGGACAGAGGTGCAAAGTCTCTGTGCTTTAGCCCCTACTCCACCTCCCATAATATTCGGGTCCTAATATTTGTATTTTAGATCTTGGACAAGTCACTTCCCCTTTTAGGATCTTAGTGTCTGTTTGTAATAAGGGTTTTCTCCCCCTGAATTCTCTTCTCTAATTGTATGTATGTATGTATGTATGTGAGCTAGAATAATTTTTGGTCATCTCACATTCCCAGTGAGACTTTCTAGGCCTTCCTTCTCTGTTTTTCCCCTTCCTGTTGGCAGAGGTCTGGAAAGCCTCATGAGCCGCATCTTGTCCCTAGGTTGAATGGCTGCAATGTAACAATTCTGCCCAGTGTTTGGCTGCCGCAGACATGGTCAAAGCATTAAGGTCCCTTTCTTTCATGGACAGTGCCCTAAGAATCTTTTCTTAGGATGAGACCTTGATATAAAAATGACATGAATATGATGTGGTATAAACAAAGACATGATGCAGCTGGTATAGAGTTTTATTGACTACAAAACAGATATGTAGCAATGGCAATCTGAAGATTGTAGTAGGAAAGTAGAGCTTTAAAAAGCTCATAAACTCATACTTTGATTCAAAAAGTATAGCAATATATTAAGATCATTATGGAATGTCTCGTGAGATTGTCTTACAGAGGAAAAAAATAAGATTCTGAGTTTGATAACTTCAAGGATACCTCTTAGGACTCACCCCTTTGTCTGGGCAAGAATTTCCATTGGGGAAAAGTAGTTCTTATAATAGGTCAAAACTTTTATTGGCCTTATGCATACTTTTCGATCTCATTCACTTGAGAAAGAATTATTCTTCCATTGACACTCTCCTGTGTGATGGCCTTGATCTTTGGAGCTGAGGGAAAAAAGCAATGAAGAGATGATTGTCACGCTCCTCTTACCATCTGAAATACTCATTTGTAGTTCCCTGTTCTCAGTACCTGAAGCTTCTCTGTCCTTTCCAAAGTGATCACTCAGCAATATGGCAGGTTCTGCTGGGGTTAAAGAGATCTCACCAAAGAAGGTTTTTTCCTCCCACCCTCCAGGAAACAAGAATGTGTGAATAGTGTCATCGTCTAGAGGCCAAGACCTGCATCCCAGGTTTGTCTGATACAGAATCTAGGCTCTGACTATATGCTTTTTGGGAGGCCTTCTGGCTTCTGCATGCTTTGTTGTACTTGTATCACAGGTTCTATGAGCTAACAGAGCACTAAATACCATTCTGGACACCTCATTTAAAGATCTAGAAAGCATGAAAGATGGCTGAGAAGCCAGAGATGCTTATCATGGTCACTGTTTTCAAAGTTATGATTTACTTGAATATGTGCTTTGTTGACATACCAGGAAACTGATTCTAGATCAAAGGGAAGATCTAACATTAATAGAGACACAGGGAGAACTTTGTTAAATCAACCTCTCCAACAGTAGAGTAGGCCACTCCATCTAGTAATGGGTTCCCTGTTTCTGGACACGTGTAAGTAGGCTAACAGACCATTTGTCAATATCTTGCAGAGAAGTAGCAGTTAGACCAGCTGCCCATGATGGTGCCTGAAACCCTGATTCTCTGAATCTAATGCCTTAGAACACTAAGTGCCACTTGTACCAAACTATGGTTTCTTAGAACTTTTCCATGAGATGTTAAAGGCAATCTGAGAAAGTAGGGTTCCCAGGTCAAGGATTTTTGGTAACACCAAGTTAAGCAAGTAAAACTTTTGATATTTCTCTCTCTTTTCTGTTTCTTTTCTCCCTCACAGGAGTGCCTGGTCTATCTTTAACTTACTGAAATGCATGACTGTTCATGAGGAGGATAGTGGTACCTAGCATTTCAACCATTTCTGGTCATGGGACACATTTTTTGTAATACACAATTAAAGTCTCACAGAACACTAATGTTTAACAGAATGTAGTTTGGGAAATTATGTGAAATAATTTTCTTGTAATTTAGCAGTTTATTAAACAGACCCCATAACTTAACAGAGATGTAATAATATGAATGATCATTGCTATCTATTTTATTGCTGGCAGAGGACTTGCATGTGTATTATTGAAGACAATACTGAGAGCTCACTTTTTTCTTTTTTATCTAATTTGAGTTAATTCAAAATTCCTTGCTATCTGGGGTAAAATAAAAATCGAACACAGGATATTTGGGAGTACACTAAGGATTATGAGTACTATAGAATGAATAAACATGTTGATTAATTTTTAAAAAGTAGATTCAAACAATGAAAGAAATTTTTACCTTTAACACTTGACTTCGATTCCTCCATTGTCCTATAAAAATGATAAGAATTACAGCTCATTCTAGTGTTAGCAACAATCATAAAAATTCCTCAAGGTGAACTAACTTCCTTTGCTTGCTTGTAAATTCATAGCTCTTTAATGAGGATAATTGGCTGAGTTCTGTAGTCTCAAGTTCATGAGTTCATGGGAAAACCTTCCTGGATCCAGAAGGAAGTGAGTACTGCCTCCCACTGACCTTAGGACCAAGGGAAGTCTACCAAACTACCTCTATTCTTTCAGCTGGCTGCAGGCTTTGCCTCCACTGGGATCTTTTTCAGGGTCTGGGTTTGAAGCCTGGAACCCTTGGGCTTTTCAGACTGTTCAAAGTTTGGTCTGATAGTCTTTTATTTATGTATTTTTATTTAATTTTATTTTTTAAAGTTTATTTATTTAAGCAATATCTACACCCAATGTGGTGCTCCAAGTCACAACACCACAATCAAGAGCCTCATGCCCTGTTAACTAAGCCAGCCAAGTGCCTCTATGTATTTTTTTTTAAAAAATTCTAAAACTTTTTTCTTGGGTCATAGAATGCATGTGTCCTTTTTCCCACCCAGACAACTATTGTCATTTCCCAAGTTGGTCAGAAATGCCACATTGAAAAATCTAGACTTCTCAACCTCTTAGGAATCTTCTTATCCTGTCAGACTAAAATATCCTTCCAACCTTCTGGGCTTTTTGTTTTGTTTTGTTTTTGGATCCAAAATTGTATGCATTCCCAGTGGGAAATACTATATAGCCAAGCCTTCCTAGTTGTTTCTTTTTGGAGATTTTAACATATTAATTTTAACAATTGACTTCAAATCTTAGTACCCTGGGAATAATAGCTGATTAATTCATACTTGCTATTTAATGAGATACAACCTGATTTAAATATCCAGAAGAAATTCAACATAAACTTTTCTTTCTCTGGAGTGATGATTGCTAACAGAACCCTGAGGTATATGAAGGCACGCACAAAAACTCAATGTTCTTTTTGTCCTCCTCCCCTGCCAGCCTTTGCCTTACCCCTCACTCTCTCCCTCCAGAAGCTGCTGGTAGGTGGCGATTTCCTTCTCTAGGTGGGTCTTGATGCCCAGGAGGACCTTGTATTCATTGTGCTGACGCTCCAGGTCATGGCGCAGCTGCCTCAATTCATCCTCATAGTGGGAGATGATCTGTTGCATGTCCTGGAGCTGGCAGGAGTACCGAGACTGGGTCTCTGATAACATGTTCTCTAAAGCAGATTTCTGAAAGAGGAAATGATGTTTCTTCCATTAATTGGCTGATAGCTTGACTGCTTCAATAATGTAGGCTTATTGAGTAGTTGGATTATACTGATCACTCTGGTGGCTTCTGGGATGCAAAAGTGGGCAGCTGACTGACTCACAGGTTTGGGGCTTGGGCAGTGAGGAGTGCACGAGAGTCAGAATTTTTGAAGCCCATTTTCTGGGCATTTCTTTGTGTTGGGGAGCTCTTGGCAGCTTTGCTATGTTCCTGCAGTGTTTATTGAGTATGCTACTCATTTGGGGTTAGGCATACACTGCCTTGTTCTGATTTATTCTTTACCTCCTCATGCTTATATTTTATCTGTGGCCATATAGAAAACTCCTGGGAGAAACAGAAACTGGGACAGCTGTCTCTGTATCTTCAGAGAAGGGTCTCAAGTAGGGATGCTGGATAAAATAGCACCTAGCTAAATTTGAATTTCAGATGAGCAACGAGTAATTTATTAGTACAAGTATGTCCTAAAAATTGCCTCGATATTGCACGGACATACTTATACTAAAAACAAAACAAAACAAAAAAACAAAAAAACCCACACCCTTTGCTTTGTATTTGAAATTCAAATTTAACTGGATGGCCTATATTTCAATTTGGTCAATCTAGCATCCATAGTCCCAAGCAATGCTCATTGATTATGACAATGGTAATGAATTGTCATTATTGAGGAAATTCTAAAAACTGCACAATGAAGTTGCCACACTAGGATACAGAGAACTGAGATCAAGACCCTGTTCTGTTTGGATTTCCCACCCACTTTTCTGGAGTGTGTAACTTAAATCTTCAGGAGAAGCTCGTAACTATGCTGGATAATCTCATTTGCTTATGGTGCTAACTTTCACAGGGCACTTAATGCTGCCTGGCCTGCACTCATCACTCTCCTGTTCTCCCAGAGGGCTATACTGCATTCCTTCTCCTCTGTCCTTAGATCCCCTCCTCCCTCTCCTTTCTTTCAGCCCATGGCCTTGCTTCTAGTCTTGAGGAAATGAAAGCCATCAGGAGAGGATCCCAACAAGTTCCCAGCATTATTCCATTCACACCCATGAGCTTGTGTCCAAGTTCTTGCTCTTCTCCTGTTGCAATGCATGAGCTGTCTGTGCTCCAGTCATTTGAGCAATTGCCCACTTTCTTGTATCATTAATATTTTCCTCTCTACCAGATTCTTCCCATTGGCTTTCAAATAGAATAATTTCTCCCACCTTAAAAATTTTCTCTCTTGAATCCATATCTACATTTAGTTGTCATTCAATTTCTCTGCTCTCCTTCACCTATAGCAAAGCTCCTCAAAGTGTACAGTTTCTCTGTATCTGCTGTTCCAAATTCCTTTAGACTTCCCTCCAAGGGACAAGCTACACAGTCTGACCCCACTTTTACCCCAAGGGTCTCCCCTTCCCTTTCCTCCTCTTCTCTCCTTTGTTCTTTCCTTTGTTCATTCATTATGGACACATTGGCTTTCCTGCTATTCCTCCAACCCAACTGACATACCTGTGCCTCATGGCTTTTGCATTTGCTGTTCCCTCCACCTGGAACCCTCTCTCCATAGCCATGTAATGCACCTGCTCACCACTTCTAGGTTTTTGTTCACCTTAACAGTAAAACCTTTCCTGGCTACCTTGTTTAAATTGGCGGCTCTATATTCCAGCATGCCTGACCTCCTCACTCCATGATTCATTTCTTAGTAGCACTTTTCTCCATCTCACATATATATTATGATTGGTCATCCATACTAGAATGTAAACTCCCTTATTATAGAATCCTTAGTATTTAGAATAGTATCAGATAGTAGAATGCATAAAAATGAATGTAAATGTCTTGCTGACCTCACATGGTTGTTGTGAAATACTGCATGTCCAAATGCTCTGAAAGCCATTAAACACTGTAATTATTTCTGTGCTCATTATTATCACCTTGACAATGTACCTTTTAAATGTCTGTTTACCATCACTTATTCCTAAAACATAACAGTAATTTGCCATGTGTATCTCCAATAGAATGAACCAATTATTCTCCTCAAGATCAAGGGCAGAGTAGCACTTGGAAATGATATTGATAAATGATTAGAAGATTCAAATGGGAATCAAATGACAGATTTCATTTAATGATTTTGAGTGCTTGTGACACTCATACAAAGCATTTTACTAAAAACCATGAAAATTATAGAAATGACTTAGAAATAAGAATTTATAGTTTACTGGATGATAAGACATCTATATAATGGACAGAGCACTACTTAGGAGTCAGACAGGGCTGGATTTGCCACCAATTCATGTTGACACCAGAATTTCTTTGTATTAGGGCTTCAGGGGGCATCCTGGTTGTAAGTGGGGAGAGTACTAGTAGAGATTATGAGGACGTACTAGACCCCCCACACTTCTCAAACACCAGGTGGTTATACCACTGGCCACTTACTATTTGTATGACTTTGGACAATTTATCTGGAGCTTTGGTTTCCTCATCTATAAAATGAGAACACAAAGACCTGCCTGGAAAGGTTAATGTGAGGATTGATGGCAGTTAACATAATGAACTCCCTGGCATACAATGTGGCACAAGGTTTCTATCTTGTGCCACAATAAATGATAGCTCTTATTACCATTATCATTTTGAACAATCTGGAAGGAAAGTGGGAAGTAAGAAATGTCCCAAGGGAGTTGGAGAGAGAGGCCCAGGCGAGAAATCAAGAGAGTCAAGAGAAGTCAAGGAGGAGGTGGTACCTGACCCTAGCTCAGACTCACTCTGTTGCGCTGTGCCTGCAGGTCAATCTCCAGGGCCTGGAAAGTGCGCTTCAGTTCATGAATGTCACTTTGGCTACTCTGCACAGTTGCTGGACTGGCCACCTCCTGGGCCATGGCTGCTGCCTATGAGACAAGCAAAGGGCAGAGGCATTGGCATTGGGACCACATGGAAATGGAACCTTTGGGAAGTTTGAGCACCTTTCCTTTACCTGCTCTTTATACCAAGTGTCCAAGTCTTGATGCTTCTTCTTTATTATAAATTCATATTCCTGCCTCATATCCTCCAGGACCTTAATCAGATCTTCTCCTGGAATTGTATTCACCTTCACATTGACCTTGAAGTCATTTGGCATATGATGTTCCTTCATTTCCTGTTTAGTAATAGAGAAAGAAAATGAACTGGCTTTGGTAATCGGAAGGCCAGAAGTGTGTTGACTGGCAGCAGTTAACAGGTCTTTTAAAAATTCAGCTCTTGTGGTTTTTTATTCTTTTACTGGTATGGTTTGATTTCTTAGTTATTATTCATTAATGGCAAAACATTGTATATTTTTCTATTATAACTTTAGAAAATAAAAAAATAGCACTAGATTAGATAGGTAATCAAATGGTTTCTGTGATTATTGAATTAATCCCTGTTTGTAAATGTTTCACAAAGAATTATGCTTACATAGCATGTAAAGCACTTCATCACATGTTCATGGGTGAAGTGATGGCACGATTCAACAGTTTAACATTTCAGATTATAGGCTAAGGCTTTCAGGAGGCATTTCAGCAACCCAAAGCCAAAAGGTATAAAGTCTTTTAATATCTTGTCAATGCATTATGACTCTGTAGGGCTGGCACCCATAGAATATCATGAAAATCAAGAAACCATAGGACAGGTTTAATTTACAATCATTATCTAACCAACTGTTCAGAATTGAGGTTCTTTGATGTTCATTAGCAATTTTGTTTGCCTAAAATGGGGATTGCTTTTCTTATTGCATCAGAGTCTCAGGGACTTCAGATGGATGGTAACTTTTTCAAAGTCATTTAAAAGCTTATGGAAATTAAGATTCTTCAGTTTTGCCACTAGTTTTATTTACCTTGGTTAGTGGCAAGTTCTCTTTATTCTACTGTCCTCCAGTTTTTTGCACATTGGGTCAATGAAGGAAGTTCAAGCTCATGCATTTATTCTTACAGTACTATATTAACAAATAAGTCGAGGTAAACATTGTGTATTAGCAAAATTGTTGACTGATTTGTCATTAATTATGATTATAATAATTTGGCTGTTGGATTTGACACTGAATAGATAAGCTTGAAGCTGGAAAAAATTAGATGTTTATATGGTTCCTTATAATTACTTAGGTTGAAGGACACTAGGACCGGCATTCAGATGATGGTTTCTTCTGGTCTTCTGGGCTATTGAATCATCTGAAAGTGCCTGTTAAAAGCTGTGCTAGTTACCAGGAGGTCCTGGGTAGTCCTACCTGCTCATGTCGCTTCTTCATGAGGATAAGCTCTTTCCTCATTCCCTCAACCTCCTGTTCCAAATCTGTTGTGACAATGGTCAGATCATCCAAGGTCTTTCGGAGACCTTCAACTTCAATTTCCAGATCTTTCTTGAAGGAGTGTTCATTTTCATACCTTTGGTTGGAAGGAAGAGAAGAATACACTTATTGTTCGAAGACTATGGCCTTGTAAGGATTCACTTCAGTCTGGAGGTGAATCTCTTAGTTTTTAGGTTTAATAAGAGCAAATGAACATATGCTGCACATCTTTCATATGTCTGTTTCATGCAGGTTTTTCTGTGATGAATACTTGTTAATAACAATGTTGTTATTTTTTTTAAATTAGAGAGGATGAAATAATAAACAGTCCTATGCTCATCACTTCGACTTAGTAACTGTTAACATTATGCTTCATCTATACTCTATTTTGTATTTTATTTTTTAAATTTTATTTATTTATTCGAGAGAGAGAGAGAGAGAGAGAGAGAGAGAGAGAGAGAGAGAGAAGCAGGATCCATGCAGGGAGCCTGATGTGGGACTCAATCCCAGGACTCCAGGATCATGCCCTGGGCTGAAGGCAGGCAATAAACCACTGAGCCACCCAGAGATCCCCTATTTTGTATTTTAAACTGAATTATAGACATTACAACACTTAACCCCTAAGTACTTAGGAATATATCTTTTAAAAACAAGAATTTTCATTAAGAATGAAGCAAAAGGGGGCACCCAGAGCTCAGTTGGTTAAGTGTCTAACTCTTGGTTTGGGCCTTGGTCATGATATCAGGGTTGTGAGATTGAGCCCTGAGTTGGGGTCTGTGCTCAGTGCAGAGTCTGCTTGGGATTCTCTCTCTTCCTCTGTACCTCCCTACCACACACTCTCCATTTCTCTCAAATAAATAAATAAATCTTAAAAAAAAAAGAATGAAGCAAATGTTAACAGCTGTTAAATCTAAGTGATGGGCATACTCTTAATTATGGAGAACAAACTGATGGTTACCTGAGGGGCAATGGGTAGGGGAATAGGGGAAACAGGTGATGGGAGTTAAGGAGTGCACTTGTGATGATGAGCACTGGGTGATGTATAGAAGTGTTGAATCAGTATATTCTACACCTGAAAGGAATATGACACTGTATGTTAACTATACTAGAATTAAAATAAGAAAAAAACCCCAGGAGTTTTCTAAATAAGCATAATTACATTATCACACCTAAAGAGCTAATAATAACTCTTTAATATCATCTAATTCTTGGTTCATATTCAAACTTTCCCATGCTACAAGGTGTATTTCATATCTAGGTTGTTTAAAGTAGAGTTCAGTCAAGTATTCGTTCCTATTATGCTTTTAATTATATTTTATTAAGATGTTACATGTGGCTAACAGTGAGATAAGTTTTCCTTTAGCAAAACAAAAACAAGAGGAACCCCCCAAATAAAGCAAAACAAAAAAAGCAAATGAAAACTCCCCACAATATGATGAAGAAGGAACTTACTTGAGGCTGAAGTCATCCACTGCCATCCTGGCATTGTCAATGAGAAGAATGATCTGAGCGTTGGTCAGCTTGCCATCCATGATCTGTAAAACACACATCAAGAGTCATTTAAGTCAGACACACTTCTATGGGAGAACTGGATTTCTGCTCTGTAGTTTCTGGGTACACACTTGTTAGCATAGATGCTGTTCTTTTCTGGCAGTGGAACAACAAGTAATGCAATCAACAAATATTGAGCACTTACTAGGTACAAACCATCAGAATGATTTTTAAAGTATGAACATGGTCCACAGCCACTTCACTGTCTTTTTTTACCCTAAGTTTAACAGACTAGGATTGGTGCATTCTAAGAAGAATGACATTGGAAGGGGGAAAGACATTGTTCAAAGTGCCTTCTGACTCTCCAGTGCTGCGAACATCTTAGTGTTTTGTTTCAGCTCATCCACATCTGATGATGTTAAAAGAGTTTTAAGTTATAATCCTGTTTTTATTGTGACTATAAGTCTGGCTCCCTTAAAGTGCAGTAGTTATTTAAGATGAACATAATTCTTCTTTGCAGTAGCATTCATGTTGCAGTAGCATTCATGTTTCTGAGCAGTGACACTGAGCAAAGTATCAAAATATCACTGATATTAGCTTGTCAAACTGATTCTGAGTGAATTTTATAATAGTCATCACATGCCATAATTATTTTTTTGTTCAAAGTGACTATAACCATTCACAAAACTTGTAGATAGGTGTACATGTTCATAAATTATTCCATGATGAGAATGCCCTAATTGTAGCTATTAAAATATTAACTGAAATAATTTTTTTGGCAGCTTAATAAACTTTAACTGTGGTAAAGTCTTTGGTTACGACTTGTACTGGGTGTTTATATACTTTTTGACCTTAAAATGAAAAATACTGTTGAAAGTTTCTACTTGGGTAACTGTGTTTACGTATATGATTTGTAAATTCTTCTAGGCAATTGTAACAAGTAGTGCACATTTGATATATTCACTGTCTTCAGAAAATTGAGTGGAAGATGTCTGAACATCAAAAGTGTAATACTACTTACTTTTGTACCACATATTGTGCTGAACTAGGAACTGGAGATTTTCTTTTTTACTTGCTTTACTGACCATTAGTGTGAACTTGGGCCAGTCACCCTGTTCCCTGGGTTTCAATTTCATCATCTGTTAAATAAGGAGTTTGTAGTAGAAACTACTAAAAATCTTAGCTCTAAACTTCTGTGATTTAGCTGGAGGCAGAGAATTCTGTGACATTCCCATCATATTTGAAGAGATAATTCTTTTATTTAGAAAGGATTTCCTTTTTTTAAAAAGATTTTATTTATTTATTTATGAGAGGGAGAGAGAGAGAAGGCACAGACACAGGCACAGGGAGAAGCAGGCTCCGTGCAGGGAGCCTGACGTGGGACTCGATCCCGCGTCTCCAGGATCAGGCCCTGGACCCAAGGCGGCGTTAAACCACTGAGCCACCCGGGCTGCCCAGAAAGGATTTCCTCAGGACAAAGTTATACCTCAATACAAAGACATCCTTTAAGGATCCACTGTTTTTTTTTTTTTAAGATTTTATTTATTTATTCATGAGAGACAGAGAGAGAGAGAGGCAGAGGGAGAAGCGGGCTCCTCGCAGGGACTCGATCCCAGACACGGAGATCACGCCCTGAGCCAAAGGCAGACGCCCAACCACTGAGCCACCCAGGCGTCCCTAAGGATCCACTCTTATTCAAAGCTCCACTGATTACTTGGAATTTGGTATCATGAATGCACAATAGCAGGATTCAGAGGTGGTAATAACACTGTGTCTGGAACTCAAAGGGCAGAGATTGGGGTCCTGTTCTCCCACCTACTAGCTGAGTGACCTTACTGAATCTCAGTTTCTTCATCCATAAAATGGCAATAGTGATAATAATAGTAGCCACTTCATCAAAGAGTTAATGAGAGTTAGATTAGAAGAGATTAAATATAATAATGTAACATAGTATAATCTGGGCATACTGTAGACACTGAAGAATTAGTTGAAACTATATATTAATTTAGAAAAATATAAAATGTTTAATTTTCTTTTATAAAAGAACTTTTGAGAGGATCTACAGATGGCCAAAAGACACACAAAAAGATGCTCAATATCACTCATCATCAGGGAAATGCAAATGAAAACCATAATAAGATTTTGATGGAATCTTGTCTCACATATAGATCTTTCATCCATTTTGAGTTTATCTTTGTGTATGGTGCAAGAGAGTGGTCTAGTTTCATTCTTCTGCATGTGGATGTCCAGTTTTCCTAGCACCATTTATTGAAGAGACTGTCTTTCTTCCAGTGGGTAGTCTTTCCTCCTTTATCATATATTAGTTGACCATAGAGTTGAGGGTCTACTTCTGGATTCTCTATTCTGTTCCATTGATGTATGTGTCTGTTTTTGTGCCAGTACCACACTGTCTTGATGACCACAGCTTTGTGGTACAACCTGAAATCTGTCATTGTGATGCCCCCAGCTATGGTTTTCTTTTTTAAAATTCCCCTGGCTATTCAGGGTCTTTTCTGATTCCACACAAATCTTAAAATAATTTGTTCTAACTCTCTGAAGAAAGTCCATGGTATTTTGATAGGGATTGCATTAGAAATGTAAATTGCCCTGGGTAACATTGACATTTTCACAATATTAATTCTGCCAATCCATGAGCATGGTAAGGTAATACCTCACACCAGTCAGAATTGGCTAGTATCAGAAAAACAAGATATAGTAAGTATTGGAGAGGATGTGGAGAAAAGGGAACCCCTGTGCAGCGTTGGTGGGAATGTAAAATGGTGCAGCCACTGTGGAAAACAGTATGGAGGTTCCTCAAAAAATTAGAAATAGAACTGCCATATGATACAGTAATTCCACTTCTGGATATTTACCTGAAGAAAAATTCAACAATTTGAAAAGATGTATGCACCCTTATGTTCATTGCAGCATTATTTGTAGGAGCCAGGATATGGAACCAACTTAAGTGTCCATCGATAGCTGAATGGATACAGAAGATGTGCTATATATATATCCAATGGAATACTACTGAGCTGTAAACAAAAATGAAATCTTACTTTTTGCAACCACATGGATGGACCTAGAGGGTATATGCTAGGTGAAATAAGTTAGACAGTAAAATACTATAGAAATAATAGGTCAGAAAGACAAATACTATATGATTTCACTTGTATGTGGAATCTAAAAAACAAAAGAAATGGACAAATAGAAATAAACTCATAAATGCAGGGAGCAAACTGGTGGTTGCCAGAGGAGGAGGAGAGAGGAGTGGGTGAAATAGGTAAATGGGATTAAGAGATGCAAACTTCCAGTTATAACATAAATAAAGCATGCGGATGAAAAGTATAGTATAGGGAATATAAGAAAAAGGAAAAAGGAAAAAGCTTGCACTTTTTGTAATGAGAGCCAATGCCTGTATAGGATAAAGTCCAGGTTCTGTATGTTGAGATGCATCCTCAAACTTCTGCTGTTCATAGTGGAAGATAACCAGGCTGCTGCCCTGCCCAACTCCTTTCTTCTCTTGGTGTATTCCAAATGGTACTATGACTACTTCCTTTGCTCTAAAAAAGGATTCTGTAGATATTTCCTTGTCTCCCTGCTGCAGTGCTGCTTAGGGATTTTCATACCAATGCTTTTCCTTCCAGGCTCTTTATTCTTCCATTGTCTAAACTCATAGGATATGTACCTCCATCCAGGAAAGCCCAGGGGCCCTGTGCACTTAGGTGTTGATTGACATCCAGGGAAACCAAACAGTATTCCCAACATGGGATCAGAAAATAAAAAATACAATCTGTGGGCTTATTTGGCTTTTTTTGAGTTAAACTGATAATTTATCTGTTGCAAAACCTACCAAGAATCTGACTCCCCCCAGTCAGCATTCTTCTCAGTGTACGTGAATGGTGAGTTCTGAAATGTACTCTAGAGAGAGCACACTTCTTTATTTATTTAAAAAAGATTGTATTTATTTGAGAGAGAAAGCACGAATGGGGGGAGAAGGAGAAGCAGGCTCCCCACCAAGAAGGGAGCCCAATGTGGGGCCCGATCCCTGGACCCTGGGATCGTGACCTTAGCCAAAGGCAGATGCTTAATTGACTGAGCCACCCAGGCACCCTAGAACACGTTTAAAAAACCAAAATTATTTCCTCTGTTCAGGCTTACTTGGTATAATATTATGATATAGTCACTTTTTCTGGGACATCCTTCACAGTAATGAATGTATTATGAGGATGGATTGAGACATAATTTGTGAAGCATAGGTTTTGCATTGTGTGTTGTCATTAATCAAGAGGATTCTCCCCTAAGGCTCTGAGTTCATTCTTTTAAAAAAATGGAGTTGGTGTATTAGTATAGCATTGTTGCTCCAGGGTGTATAATCTTGTTCCAAGAAGAAGAAAATAGGATTTTTTAAATAATAAACCACAGTGCCAAATATAGTACTATTGAGAGCATTCTAAAATACATGTATCCTTATGACCATGTCTAATTCGATATTTCAAAAGGATTGGATTAATTTTTGAACTAATTTTCTAATAGCTCTTTTGAGTAATATTTAGGATCCCTATGGTGGGACAAAAGGATACTATATCTGCAGATAGCATTTCATCAGCCCTGGGAAGGGGTCGACCCCTATATTGTAGTGGGTTATCATATTCTTTGGGTTTCTGTTTTCTTGCCTGTGAGTCAAGGAGGTCAGGACAGATAGAATAACCTCAACTTCAAAGAACTGTTTTCTTCAAACATGAAAAATGCAACTAAAATAAATCTAGAAAAGAGTGGAATTCAAACCTGAATTTAATTGATGACCCAGAATTTAAAGTCAGAACCCAGAATCCTGGACCACTTAGAGAGTGGGCAAGCCCCCACTCACTTTTCTCAATTCTGTTCCAAAGAATTTAGGCCACCAATCAGTCTCAGTCTCCTCATCTATAAATTGGGGGTAAGAAATGAGATAATGTGTATGAAATGTATGTCATAGGATTAGCAGTGCATTATTTCTACTAACAAGCAGCACTGTTTTTGTAGAAGGTAGGCTAGTGAGCACCATGCAGTGTGGAAACTGTGAGACCATTAGAAGCAGATCTGAGTTAGTGGGTGACGGGCATTGAGGTGGGCACTTGATGGATGAGCACTGGGTGTTATTCTATATGTTGGCAAATTGAACACCAACAAAAAATAAATTTATAAAAAGAATCTCATGTCTGCCTCTTGCTGGTGGCTTTTGGTGGCAACGTCACACCTCTGAGCTCCAGGGTGTTTACAGGGTCATTGTAAGAATTGAATCAGGTAACATAGAATGTTTCCATCAGTGCAAAAAAGCTCTTGGATGGTGTCAATATGTGCATTAAAACATCCAACATCAAGGATGGTATACAGGAAGAGCCCAATTAATACTTTCCTCCCTCTTCCCTGTTCCCTCCTCTCTCCTGTCACTTAGTGAATTATTTGACTAGGTTTGACCTCATGTTCATTCTGGAAGTTAGGTTCTCAGCTGTCCATTTGCAAAAAAAAACTTCTGTTCTCTCCATTCTAAAACAAAAGTAACTTTATTTATGAAAAAAAATTATGATGAGGTTTGTTGAGTCACCTTGTTTTTTCCATAAAGACAACCATGTACTATATAGTTAGGGTAATTACACAGTCAGTTATTAGGTTGATTATTCAATAATTAGGGTTCATTATGAGGACAGATTTATGTTATCTTGATTGGTCTTTTCTACATTCAAGCAAGGACAACTGAGGGTTGAGAAATAATACTGTATAAATATTGGAAACCCTTTCTAGGATGGGTAAAATCATGATCTTATGGGGAATTTTCTGGGACCACTTTACATAAGAGGAAAGTTACATAGCTTTAAAAAGTAACTTGTGAGCTAACTGGATTCCCTCCACTTCCAGTATTGTGAGATGTCTCGGAAGATAGGAGCTCAGCTTTTTTTTTTTTTTTTTATGTTTTAAAGAAGTCTCCATAACCCATCCTAACTATAAGATTCCAAAAATTATGCTCATTTTATTATTTTTTTTCTAGCAATATGCCCTTTCAGAACTTGGTGCAGGAAGAACTCAGAGCCTCTAGCAGCCCTCAAAAGGAAATATCCGGGGATGTCAGAATGATGTATCTGCCAAAGCTAGAGTGACAGCTTTTAGGTACGATCTCCGGGAGTTAACTCAGCCTTTCTTTCTGTGGGTAATCATGCTGTCGCCAGGACTTTTGAGGTGGAGCAGAACTGATGTAATGAGAAAGTAAATGCCCTCTTGTGTCTTGTGCACTGAGCATGAGGAATGAATACCATGAATACCGGCCCTTATCATTACTATGACATTACTGGGTCATAACTGATACTGGACAGCAGCTGGTTGCCCTACATTTTTTGGATTCTCTGTATAATTTATGTATAGAAGATGAAATACACAAACCAGGCTTTCCTGAGTCCAAAAGGTATAACAGGAAAATATCCTCAAATACCTTTGTTCACAATTACTTTCAGCTCTTTTGACATTTTCCTGGAAATTGTCTTATGTACTGATTTCTCCTCCCATGGCTCTCTGGAAATACAGCCCCCTCTTGAGTTCCAGGGGCACCCACGATCTTACCTGCTCTTGCAGGTGGCTGATGTTTTCCTCATACTGGGAGTAATTTTGCTTACTGCCAGGATCTCTCTGCTCGTGCCACTTCAAGATGCGACTTTCGAGCTTCTCGTTGGCCTCCTCCAGGGCACGTACCTTGTCCAGGTAGGAAGCCAGGCGGTCATTGAGGTTCTGCATCACTTCCTTCCCACTTGCACCTGGGAGGGAATTGCCTCTTCTAGATCCCCAAGGCCCTCCAGGAGGCAGACAGCTTGGTGAGCTGAAGGAAAGGGAGATGCGGACACCCCCAGCCCCCCCATGGACACTGGGAGCCCGAGGGAAGCTCCCCAGCTGGCCCCAGCTGCCTCCTGTGCCACGGAGGGAGCCTGAGGGGGTCTGGCTAAATTTGTGGCTGGAGTTCATGGTCCCATCTGTGTTTGGTGCAGGGATGGGCTCTGCTCTGCTCCCTGGCACTGCAGAACTGAGCCGCCCCAGACTGCCCTGGATGGTTTTATGCCCTTTGCTGTGGGAGTTTCCTTCTCTGACAACTGTACCAACAAGATCGTATCATTGTGCAACAGGTGTTTCCTCTTGGCCAATCTTGAAGTGCCCCTGGGCCTTCACACACATTGTTGTTGTTTAGAACCACATCAATATACCAGTTTGCTGCTCCCTTCTAGTTGTAACCGGGAGGTGTGGCCCACAACATGAGGTAGGTATTAGTCTCAGGTGCCTTTCTAATCTTTCTGTGGAAATTTTCCTTTGACTATTTATTTGAAAAGGATCAGACTGAAGTTTACAAAAAGGCTATTTGGTGTAGTATAGATTTGCCTTGAAAAAGTAGACATTAACAACACAGACACACACACCCTCCCCCACCCGAAGTAAACAAACCCTAGCTCTAAAGCTAGGGTGGGAGAGACTCCCAAGGGAAGAACCAGATCAGAATCTCAGGTCCTAGAATAAAAATACTCATGCTGAGGAAATGGAGAATGTTCTGAATATCTGATGCCTTTGTGGCAGTTACTGTTTGATGGAAAGTAATTTCAAAGGATCATTCTTAAGAACAAACCCTCAATTATAATTAATTAATGAATGACCGAGCCTTCTACTTCCAGGGTGCCTTTCATCCCCAGCACACCTCAAAACCAAACAACCTGCCCGCACCAGGACTTCCTTGGCCCCTGGGAGGAATGCAGCCTTTGGTAACTGGCCAGCAGCCCCGTCCCGGCTGAGCCCTGAAAAGGCTGGCTTCTGTGTGTCTGTGACCTATAAGGCGATGGAGAAAAACAGGAAGTGTGCCATGGGTTGTTGAATGTGCTTGATGAATCTCATGCTTCGTCTGCCAAGGTAAAGGTTAGAAATGAATAAAGAAATAGTCTGGGGGTGGGGAGCCACGTGCTGGTTATAGCAATTAGATTTAAAGGGGACTTTGAAATAAAGTGGCAACATTGGAAGGGACTTTAGTGAACCTCCATCCAAATCAATTATTTTACAGATGTGGAAAACTGGCCTATGCGGAGGGGTGGCGGGGTTTGGCAGAGGACAGATTGTGAGCTAGAGGCAAAGCCACGGTGGGATTCCTGCCACCACACAGCACTGTCATCATTGAGTTGAATCTTGACAGAGTCCTGTAAAGATTCTCTTCCATCATGGGATAATGGGACTTCCCAGTTTACACAGCCCTTTGATGGTCTTTATTATTTTTTTAATTTTTATTTATTTATGATAGTCACACAGAGAGGGAGAGAGAGGGGCAGAGACAGGCAGAGGGAGAAGCAGGCTCCATGCACCGGGAGCCCGATGTGGGACTCAATCTCGGGTCGCCAGGATCGGGCCCTGGGCCAAAGGGAGGCGCCAAACCGCTGAGCCACCCAGGGATCCCTGATGGTCTTTATTAAATGTGCATGGCCACTCTTGATGTATTCATGCAAGGGTTATTGTCCCCATTTTACAGATAAAGAATCAAGGGCTCATGGAGGTGACTGACTTAAAGCTGATTTGCATGTGCAATGTAATTCAGCACATGAATTTGTAGGTGTCACTGCCTTGGTCTGCTGTTTCCACTGCTTGGATTCTCACTGCCTGACTGCCCACACCTGCTCCCTTGGCTTCCAGACATAGTTCAAGGGCTATCTCTTTCCACGATCATTTGCTGAATTTTCCTGTACAAGCCGGGTGCCCTTTCTATGAAGAGACCACCTGTTCTGGATCCTTGGACCCTCTGGAGGGGCAGACATTTTAGTATCCTCACCCCACTGTGGAAGCTGGGAGGCCCCAACTGGGCCCAGCTACCTTCTGTTCTTCTTTTTTTTTTTTCAAATATCTTCTGTTCTTGACTCCACCCCCATTCTTTCACTCATCATGTAACTCATAATTCTGTATCTGTCACACTTCTCTGGGACTGCAGGCATCTTGAAAACCAGGATTATGTCTTCCATCTATCAAGTGCCAGAGTCTGGCTTCTAATAGGCATTTCGTAAATGTGTGTTAATTCAGTAATGAACTTTCTAGAATTAGGATTTTAACTCTGGTCCTCTGATAGCATCACCTCCTGCCCCTTTTGGGATTGTGAGTTGTAAAACCAGGTAGTAGGAAAAAGCCTCTTCCAGGTGCGAACTAGCCAGCCATAAAGGCAACCTCATTCCTAATTACAAATAAAATTACCTAAAGCACATCAGCTCTGCTTGTCCACCCTGGCATCAAAACCATGCAAAAGTCCTCTGGAATTTCTTCATCTCACTGTGGGCAGGATGGAATGATTTAGTCAAGACTAAAGGAAACTTTGGGGGTGCTTAGAGGGAGTGTTTAAAGTGTTCTTTGGTCACTTACACCTTTGAACATGAGAAAGAGACAAAAGGGAGACAAGATAAAAAGAGGGCAAATGAGGGAAGCATAGAGACTTGTTTGAATGTGTGGTGGCAAGCAGTGCTCTGCTAGACATCGATGGTGTCTGATCATTTGTTTTGACTCAAGGTTAGGGTCAGTTCTGTGTTCACATGGACTCAGACTCACAAATGACAACATCCATCCGTAGGTTGTGCAAGGGCCAGTCTGTGCCCTGTCTCTTGAAACTCCCTCTCAATGACTGGCGATGGGAATGATCATTTCCCTGTGCTTTGCAGGCATGTCTGAAGTGGCAGTGACCTATTAGCCCTGTGAATTTGGCCCATGCGTCATTTTATATCAGTGTGTGGGAGTTTGGATTTATAGGAGTTAACCTCGAGCAAAATACTTCTTGTATTATAGCAGCACCAGGGCAGGGAAAAATTGGTGGTGCCATCTGAGAAGACTGAAGAGAAGTCACTTCTTCTAGAACTATTATGCAAAGATTTTCCTCGTAGCTCCCAATCTGAAGAGCTCCATTGGATTATAAAAGAAATGGTGGATTTTTGTTTCTTTTTGTTGGTTGGTTGGTAAAATTATCCATGCTTATTATAAAAAAATACTCAAATAATACATGAAAGTATAAGAAAAAAGATTCTATCACACAGACAACCATTGGTAAATCGGTGAACATTGTTTCAGACACTCTCTACCTGTATATATTGGTAGGTATATGGATGACTAGAATAGTTTTAGAAAAATGAGCTCATACAGTTTATTCTAGTTTAGAAGAATTGATTTTTAAAAATTTGGTTGATAAATAAGAAGCTGAAATGACTTCACTTTAGTTACATGTTTTGTATAGGACTTTTCAACTTTAATCACATTCTTTTAATTTTATACTTTTTAAGGAGAAAAAACATGACCTGTACATTTGTGGAATCACAGAGATGGAAAGAAGGGCAAGAAAAGGTCATTTGTTGCAGCTTTCTGCTTCTAGGTAGATCAACTACAAATTGTTGAGCTTATTTTTAAGCTTTTTTTTTTTTTTTTAAGAACTCAAGGGATAATGGCTCAATTGCCTTCTTAATAGATGCCCAACATTTACTCATCTTTTTGGTCAATGAGCATTTCACCTATGATCTGATTTCATGAATTTTTTTGTATCTTTATGGAGTTCAAATTGTTTCTAAATTATTCTTCTTTGCATGACTTTACAACTAGAAGTTTCATAATTTTCACATTTGGTTCATCTTTCTGATAAATTGAGATGTAGTTGCTAAAGGGGATGAGTATTTTGCAGGAGACCTTGCACAATGATTGAATAAAGGGGTTTGCATGTGGGTGTATCAGGGATCAGAAGAGAGCCCTGGTGACCATTGACTGTCATTTACTGGGAGTACAGTGTTGTATGCCTTTTAAAGACAATCATTCCATCACTGAGACATTCCCTAGGCACCCTTTTCTTTAGAGTGAGAAAAGAACAGCCAGAGCTATCCCCAAATAGATTTTTACTCTGCATGATATTTCAGAACAGATGAGTAATAGATCTTCAGACAAAATTACTATGATTTGGATTTGGGGAGCTACATAAAAAGATTAGACATTTATAGAAGTAAAACACAGCTCCTACCATGCAGCCAGGTCAGACATTCTATAGGTACCTAAGTTTATCAAACTGTTGCCAAATAAAAACATTTTTTCATATTTTGATTTTTCCAGGAAAAGGGGGCCTACAGATAGAAGATTTAAATGAAATATTCAATATAGTATTCTAGACTAGAAGGGGAAGGCAAGTCAACCTAAAGTTGCTTCCAAATAATATGTATATATATTGAATGACATACAAGGAAAAATAATGAAAACATGCACAGACAAAATGAATTGCAAGATCATAGAAGGAAATTTTCTCAAATGGTAGGTGATGAGACAATTGTGTTGGAAATTCTTCTTTATCTGATTTTGAAAAACAAGAAAGAATTAGATGAGGATGCAGATGTAGACAGAGCCTTGTAAGTGAACTCAAACAAAGAGCATTTGGGGCCTTATGGGCAAGCAGAGTTAGGAAATTTAAAGAGAAGATAGCAGAATAAAGAAAGAGAAAGCAGATTTCAATTCAATAAAATCTGGCCATAAGTATTTATTAGGGTCTCATTCCATATTAACATATTTCTGAGCAATTTGGAACATATAAGAAGCAAAAGACATGTTTGCTGAATTTACTGTAAGTCAAGCAACTGCCTGGTTATCCCAGCACTTAATAGTAAGGAAGCTGAAAGGCCAGGCTCTGGCCTGCTCACCTTTAAGTGTTCAATCCTATTTTCACTTTATAGAGGGCTGTGGTGGGCCCTCCATATATAGTTTGTTAACCTTGGTTTGGGAAGTTCCACTACTGCTCTATAGATTGCATGGAATAGATTACACGAGATACAGGTGAGAAGAAAAAGGAAGATGATGGTGGCTGAGTGTAGTTAAAAAAAACTCGCCAGTGGAGTGGATACTTGAGGGACTCTCATGGTTGAGAGGGAGCAAGAGGTCCCAGGTAATAGAATCAGAAAGAATGGGTGGAGGGGCATCTGGGTGGCTCAGTGGTTGAGCATCTGCCTTTGGCTCAGGTCATGATCCCAGGGTACTGGGATCGAGTTCCATATCGGGCTC